GTTTAGTGCCTAGACGTACTATTTAAAATGCGAATTAAATTATTCCAATTTGTTTATTTAATGTCATGGAAAAGATTTATACCAACACTCTAAATTTAAAATGTGTCCTATAGCAAAGATTGTTTTGTTGATCGAAAATCTAAATGAATCACCTACGCGTTTTACATTCTTTTGATAAATGTGTTTCAACTAATTATTAGAAACACGTCGTAATAAGTTCTCCCTACCCAACCAGCTTGAGAAGAAGATGGATATGGCTAGCGGCTAGCCTCCTTATCTTGTTTAGTCAGCCTTTTATAATCTTTTCTTCATTAATTTGATTTACTTGTTTATTTTTTCTTTGTTTTTCGTTAAATTGTTAGTTTGAGGACCTAGGATGCAATTTCAGTTAAGATTAATGATTAGGTGTTTTCTTTGTTAGCGGCAATGAGGAGCATTAAAAAAGTTTAAGAGACAAAAAGAAAATGGTAAAAACTGGATAAGGTATAAAATGAAAATCAACGATTTATCGTCTTAGATTAATTATTCGGTATTCCATTGTGAATTAAGGAATTAATTTTTCTCTAAATTTATATTTTCAAAAAATAATATAATATTTCAAATTGGTTTATACATTTATCATTCTAAATCATTCTTATTTAGTTAATATATATTTAGAGCCACCAATAATTAAATTTAATATTTTTTATTAAGTTCAACTCTTTACAATTTGAGTATGGTTGTTTGATAATAACTTTTTGAAATTTTAAGTATTTGACTATGGGTGTATTCATAGGAAGCATTTCATATGAAATTGGAAACTTGTATTTCAATATTTATATTGGATTCGAATATATTAATTGGTATCTTCAAAGATTTATCCTAACAAAGTGGTTGGCGGCAACGCCCGGCTTCATACTTACATGTGCTTTTTAGAACATTAATTAATTTTTTTTATTTGTTTATTTAGTATCCTAACAAAGATTTATACTAAAACTCAAAATTTAAAATTGTCATATACAAAAAGTATTTTTACGCTGATAGAAAAATCTAAATGAACTTTAGGTTAGCCTATTCATTTTACGCTACAAATGTTTTTCCACATGCAAGAATAACTGTATAGGTACTTCCAAATGTTTAACAACTTCCACATGAATTTCCACGTTGAAAAATACTGCATGGAATAGAATAATTGTTAGTCAAGCAAAGCATTTATATTTATGGAAAAAGTGGAGTCCATAATGGTGTAATGAGCACCACTCCTATCATATTGATACTAACACAGTTGTGAATTAATGAATTTTAAATTGAATAAACAATTTAAAAAAAACTTAAATTGTCAAGAAGACAACTTAAGCACCGTTTATTAAAGATGTTGAGCGCTGCACTCACATCTTTAGCCCAATGTCGATAAAATTAACAGTTCATTCTGTGCCTAATATTGTAAAATTTGGGGATATATAACATGAAAAATTGAATGGGATCTAATTCATGAATCTTTTGGACCCTAACTATAGGTCCCCTATATATATATTATTCAAATTAACAGTGTTTGGAATTAATGAATTTATAAAAAAAAACCTTAATGGTCAAAGAAGACACCTTAAGCTACGTCCGTCGAACGCCAACCATTTGGAATACGCACTGACACAAAATTCCACTTCATAATCATAGTCCGTGTTCAATGTTAGAAACGCGCTTACAGAAAATTCCATATGGAAAACTGCCAAAATCTATTAGAAAATTAGTGAGAGTTCATACAGAAATTCTAATATATAAATTAGAATACACTTATCTAACTCGTCATTACAAGTCCCCCTCCCAATTTTCTTTATGCATTTCAAATTAGCCATGGGAAATAATGTCATCTTTATGTTGCTGACAATGCTTTACTTTCTTATCAACATTGTTGCATCTCTTAATAGTTCCACCGATGAATATGCTCTTCTAGCCTTCCGATCTCAAGTAACTCTTGATCCAAATAAAATCTTGGCAAAAAATTGGTCGCAAGGAACCTCGTTCTGCAATTGGATTGGCATAAGTTGTGGTAGGAGACATCAAAGAGTTAGGGCCTTGAATCTTGCAGATATGGGTCTAGGAGGTACTATTGCTAAAGAAATCGGTGAACTCTCTTTTTTGAGATCATTGATTACTAGCAATAATAATTTCCACGGATTTATCCCTGATGAAATTGGTAATTTAAGTCAGCTTCGAGAAATAGAGATGCAGGACAATGAGTTAAATGGTCCTATTCCAACAAGTTTTGGATTTCTTGAAAATTTACGGAAGTTAAATCTCTCCTTTAACAAACTCAGCGGGGATATTCCAAACAGGATTTTCAACCTCTCTTCTTTGATAGAAATTGGTTTAAGAAACAATAGTCTCACAGGAAGTCTTCCTCCACACATCTGCTACAATCTTCCAAAGCTAGAGAGGTTAAGGATTTCAGTGAATCAAATAAGTGGCAACATTCCTCGAAGCTTGGGAACATGCACGAATCTTGAAGTACTTTCTCTGTCGTACAATCATTTCTCCGGAAGAATTCCAATGGAAATAGGGAACTTGTCAAAGCTTCAAATTCTATATCTTGGAAACAATTATTTGACAGGTGCGTACGTTTAACCGATCTCTTTACTTTCAGTATTAACATTCGATAATAACTTTTTGAAACTTTAAATATTTTAATTTTGATTTTTGATTTTTGATTTTTGTTATAAAATGTATTCACAGGAAACGTTCCATATGAAATTGGAAACTCATCGGGACTTCAATATTTATATTTGAGTGAGAATATCTTTACAGGTAAACTATCTATTTTTTATTAGTACCTTTGGAATTCATTAATTTGAGTGTGTTGACAAACACAGGTATAATTCCGCATTCAATTGGCAGTTTATCGAATTTGAAGATTTTGTCTATGTCCAATAACAGTCTTAGTGGTCAGATTCCTACCTCTGTTTCAAATTTTTCTAAGCTTCGTAATGAAATGAATTTATGGGATTCATTTAATTCCGCATTCAATTGGCAGTTTATCAAATTTAGAGGAATTGGGAATTGATAGCAACCGTCTTCAGGGTCAAATACCTGATTCCATCTTCAATCTCTCCATGTTACGAATACTTTCTTTTACTGATAATAGTTTCTCTGGCAATCTTCCATTGTCAATTGCCAATGGGCTTCCTGATCTTGAAAGTCTCTTTCTTGGTGGCAATCGATTGAGTGGAGAAATTCCTGCCTCTATTTCAAATTTTTCTAAGCTTACTGATTTGGAAATTAGTGAAAACTCCTTTAATGGACGAGTACCCACGAATCTTGGAAATTTACAGAACCTACAGCTTCTAGGTTTTAATAGAAATCAGTTGACAAATGATCCTTCAATGCTCGAATTGGATTTTCTTATTTCATTGAAAAATTGTAGAAAGTTGAAGCACATACAATTTGGAAACAATTATTTTGATGGAATATTACCAAAAACCTTGGGTAATTTGTCAGCGTCTGTTGAAATTTTTAGTGCCAATCAGTGTGGTATTAAAGGTATCATTCCAAATGAAATTGGTAATCTGAGCAACTTGATCCTGTTAAGCACTGGAGGGAATGGATTGATAGGAAGAATTCCTGACACATTGGGTCAATTAAGAAAATTGCAAGTGCTGAGTCTTCGTGGAAATAAACTACGGGGACCAGTACCTAGTGGCCTTTGCAATTTGGAAAATCTGTATGCTGTATCTTTGGAGTCAAATCGGCTTTCTCAACAGATACCAACTTGTTTAGGAAATCTAACCACTTTACGAGAAATTTATTTAACTTCCAACTCATTGACTTCCACTATCCCATCTACAATGTGGACTAACAAGGACATTCAGATTTTGAGTTTAGCTAATAATTTGCTGAATGGGTCGCTGGCTCTAGAGATTGGAAACATGAAGAACATGCAAGAGTTATATCTATCAGGAAATCAATTCTCAGGTAATATTCCTCGCACTATAGGACAGCTTCAAAGTTTGGAAAATCTAACATTATCAAACAATCAATTACATGGTCCTATACATGATTCGTTTGGTAATCTGATTTCATTGAAATTTTTGGATTTATCCATGAACAAACTCGATGGTGTAATCCCCAAGTCAATGGAGAAACTTCAGGACCTTAAGTATTTCAATGTTTCGTTCAATGAACTAACGGGTGAAATTCCAAATGGAGGGCCTTTTAAGAACTTTACCTCTGATTTTTTCATTGGCAATGGAGAATTATGTGGAGCATCTCAATTTAAGGTCAAGTCATGTAATACAACTCGATTATCAAGCAATACCAGATTTTTGAAGTACATTTTACCACCAATTGCTGTTGTATTGAGTCTGGCCATTACTGTTATTTATTTAATAAGACGCCGTAGCAGAAATACACTTCTTCCAACTCAGCCTACTTCCCCCATCACTGTCAAGAGGATTTCATATTATGAAGTGCTAAATGCTACAAATAAATTTGGTGAAGAGAATCTGATTGACAAAGGCAGTATTGGTTCAGTTTACAAAGGAACATTTTCAGACGGAATGATTGCTGCTATTAAGATTTTTAATCTTGATTTGGAAGGTGCAAACGACAGTTTTGATATTGAGTGCACAATATTGTGCAACATTCGTCATAGAAATCTTGTCAAGGTAATTAGTAGCTGCTCTAACCTTGATCTTAAAGCCTTGGTGATGGAATATATGCCTAATGGAAACCTTACCACATGGCTATCTTCGAGCAACTATTTCCTAAATTTAGCTCAAAGATTGGAAATAATGATAGATGTGGCATCTGCGCTAGAGTATCTACATTATGGGTATCCCTCTCCAATTGTCCATTGTGATTTGAAGCCGAGCAACATACTTTTAGATGAAGATATGGTTGCCCATGTAGCAGACTTTGGCATTGCCAAGCTTTTCACTAAAGACCAGAGAATTTTGATTACCAAGACGTTGGGCACCATTGGATATATGGCTCCAGGTAAATGGTTTCTTTCATCTACTTGTGTATCTGTGAATGCTAATAGTGTAACCATGTATTACTTTTTAGTTCTTGTTTTATTTATCCATAATTTAACAATAAACTAGTTAATTAGATCACACATCCCAATTTTGTAGAGTATGGATCAACTGGATTAGTGTCAACTATGGCGGATGTTTATAGTTATGGGATTATGCTGATGGAAACATTTACCAAGAAGAAGCCAACAGATGATATGTTTGTCGGAGAGTTCACAATGAGGAAATGGGTGCTTGAATCATTCCCAGATGAAATAATGCACATAGTGGATGTCGATTTAGTGAATGCTGATGAAGATAATATTCGAGCTAAGGAGAGCTGCTTCAAATTAATCATGGAACTAGCACTAGAATGCACGACTGATTTGCCAGAGGATAGACCCATTGCTAAAGATGTTCTAACAAGGCTCAAGAAGATCAAAATTTAACTTTGTTAAAGCATAACTGAGGTGGAACAAGACAAAGGTTTGATTCTTATTGAGAACACACAAAAAAATGATCATTTGAATGAAAATCTATTTTCATCTTTACTAGTAATCTTTAAAGCTTATTATATATTGCTATTGCAGGAAACTTGGCTATCATTCTGAATATTTTTAAGCTCTGTTGGCTTCCAATATTGTGATGCAGTGTGTCATAGCCGTTTTGAGCCCCAAAATCTGCACTGCAAAGTAATTTGGTTAATGAATAAATAATTTTATGCATTTAGTGTCCATAATTAGACGACATTTAGATCTCTAGTTAATCTACTGTAAGATGTGGTGGCATAAGAAAACATTTTGGTACCATAAATCATCTTCATTATGTGAGAATATTGTTACCGTTTGTTCTTATCCTCTTCATTTGCCCTTGACACCAGTCATTAATACAAAGAAGCAGCAAATTATTAGTACAAATATGCACCCTAAATAAAGCTTTTTTGAAATATGAAAAATTAAAAATAATTATTTAAGCTGATAAATGTTGAAAGGATATAAATGAAATTTCCAATCATAGTAAGAAAGGGAAGGAAACAAGATGATGCGGATGCAATTCTGGTAACCAAAATGATGCATAATTTTATGAACTTCTATAGTCACTAATGAATTATTTGTCAAGGTACATAGTACAGTATTCAGAGTATTTAGAAATAAAATAAATTTAAAATATTTTATATCATACTATGTGGCTTATCTCATTAACTTGACAACCTTCTCCACGATCATCTAGCTCATCTCCTGCACCAGATGGCACTTTATCACCACTAGAATCATCTAGCCCATTCACCTGCTCATGTCTCATAAGTCATAATCTTAACCGTAACCAATTAAAATTGAACTGATAATGTGAGGGGTCTTGCTGATTTTATAAACAAGACAAAGTTGATCTCGAAAGGAAACCTGACTAAAGTTTTACCCAGTGCATGAATATACAATTTTATTAGTACTTCACATAATGCTATTTTTTATACTACAAAGAACTAGAAGACAGCTCTCGCTCCAGGGACTGGCTGATCGCATCAGGAATGAGAAGTGCTTTATGAGAAAACCTTGAAAAGTTAGGTTCGCCTCTTTTATGGGAGCACATAACCAAGCACGTTTTACTACTTGGCAATCACTTGATTTTTCCGGTTTGTTTGAGCTCTTCAAATGCTATCGATATTCTACAATCATTTTTTATTATTAAGAACAGATTATGATGTTTTACTATAGTGGGATGACGCCTGAACAAGTTGATTGCTTGATAAAGGAATTTCGCACTTACATGACTCGTAATGGTCATATTAGGTAACATACTTTCTTATTTCTAGTATTTTTGTTAAATTTTCCATTTCCTTATTGATTTTTGAAGTCTTGCAATTTTGCTGATATTTATATATTAACGCAGTATGGCTTGAGTCACTACGGGCAATCAATGAAGGATCCAAGATCTTAAGTGAGCTATGACGGTCATTCAGCGTTAACAATTGCAATAGCGAGATTGTTTATGAATATTTAATTGAATAATATTTAAAAAAAATTCTTTTGAATCTGTCGTTGAAGTAGAATTCTTCGAGGAAAATAAAAATAGATTATAGTTGTAACTTTTCTACATTCACTATCATCTCAATTGAAACTAAATAGATACAAGAAAACTTGGAAATTTATGAATACTTACCAAAAAATTATTTCATCACCTCTTGGTAATGGCATAGACAGCTCTTGCTCCAGGGAATGGTTGATCGCATCAGGAGAGAAGTGCTTCACAAGAAAACCTTGAAAAGTTAGGTTCGCCTCTTTTATGGGAGCACATAACCAAGCAGGTTTTACTACTTGTCAATCACTCGATTTTTCCATTTTGTTTGAGTTCTTGAGATGCTAATTCTACAATCATTTTTTATTATTATGAACAGATTAGGATGTTTTACTATAGTGGGATGACGCCTGAACAAGTTGATTGCTTGACAAAGGAATTTCGCACTTACATGACTCGTAATGGTCACATTAGGTAACATATCTTCTTATTTCTAGTATTTTTGCTAAATTTTCCATTTTCTTATTGATTTTTGTAGTCTTGCAATTTTGTTGATATGTATTTATTAACGCTATATGGCTCGAGTCACTACGGGCAATCAGTGAAGGATCCAATACCTTGAGTGAGTTAGGACGGTCATTGATGGTTAACTGCCGCAATAGCGAGATTGTTTATGAATATTTAATTGAATAATATTAGAAAATTCTTTTGAATCTGCCATCGAAATAGAATTCTTCGAAGAAAATAAAAATAGATTATAGTTGTAACTTTTCTACATTCCCTATCGTCTCAAGTGAAACTAAATAGATACAAGAAAACTTGGTAATGGCATAGACAGCATAATATTAATGATAATTGATTCTGGGGAGGTAGCCAAGATGCAAAGCAACACACAGATCAAGAATTCATGCTGCATCAAAGTTTTAAAAAACCACTGGACAGAGTTTATGTTAAGTTTATACACCAAATAAAGTGATTTTTATTATTCCAACTACCTCACTATTAACAAAGACAACACCAAATTATTCTTACTCTCTATTTCTCACTGCCTTTTAACTTTCTCTGTTTCTGGCATCACTCACGCTTTCTTTCTTTCTTGCATACATACAGCAAATACACGTGCATATATATAGGCTGAAAGGTCGGTGGACTCGTTAAAAGTGTCCAAGTCCACAAAACACACCAACAAAAATAAGATTTCCCTTCCTGTTTCACGCCTTTGATTAACCCCAAATCAGAATTCCAAAATCAGAAGAACCCAATTTGAGCCCTAATTCCAAATAGTAAGATGGGGTTCCAAATCCAAAATCGTTATCAATAGAACCATAAATTTCATATGAAGAATTCAACAGCTTCTTCCCAAATATTCTAGAAGGCGTAGCAGCAGAAATCAAAGATGGTGAGCTCTCTTGGGATCCATCTTCTCCAACCACAACCGAATTCAAATTAGGTTGGAGAAGGGTATGAGTGTGGCTGCATGTGGTGTGGTTTGTTTTGGGAAATCCAATTTCCTTTCCTGCATCCTCGGTGAGATTCCAAAAGTGTCCGGCGAAGTAAGTCTGAGTTTATACAGTTTCCATTATTCAGTTCTACTTCACCATTATGATGAGAGTCGTGCTAAACGTACAGAACCCCTTTACCAGACATTTTCCAGATAACGTGTCAACCAACATTTATTTCAAATAAAATAATGATTAAATGAAATGAAATGGAAGCAGCCCATGGGAAGTGCAAAGAACTAAACTTTCCCTGACGAAACAAACCCTTTTATCTCATCGGCACTTGCGTCCCCAACTCCGGCTCCGGATCAGGATCCGGCTAACGTCAATCCAGAAATTAACAAACAACCCAACATCTTTACCATTGTCAGAGTTTCTAAACCAAAACAAAGCTGCCGATTTCGCCGTCTTTGTCATCATCTTCTTCGGCTATCGTCGACTGCTTAACTCTTTGAGAAGGTTAGATTTTTGGGCTTCTGAACAAATTATTTATGGATTTTCTCGCACCCACTGTACACGATTTGAAACTATAAGGGTGTGTTTGATACACCCATTTTCCCTAGAAAATGGAAAGCATTTTTCTTTTCTAGCCTCTTTTCCCTGTTTGATGACCTATTTTTGCCATGGAAATCCTTTTCTCACTGACACACTCGCGTGCCTATTTTCTCACAAATCATTGAATTTGCTTTCTTTGGGTTTTGCTAGGTTTTCATTTTCCATGTTTTTTTTTTTTTTTTTTTTTTTTCTTTTTTTTTTTTTTTTGGTAATTGAAATTTCTTTTAGACTCAAT